AGACACGGTCATGAAAAAAGTCATTGTGAATGGGACTAGGTGAGTGAGATGAAAGAAATGGAAAAATATGTTCATGAAAAATGACGTTTCGAGAGATGATGATTTGATTACTCTCGATGTTGAGAAGTTTATATCCTTTGTAATCCGAGGGGTAACCGAGGAAGACACAAGCTCTAGAACGAGGTGAAAATTTATGGCGATGACTATCGAAAGTGAAGCAATAGCATAGACAACCAAAAATATGCAAATGATCATAAGATGGTTTTTTATTAGTTAATAGTTCAAAAGGGGTTTTGTTAAATAACAAAGGGGAAGGTGTACGATTTATCAGGTAAATAGCGGTCAATACGCAATCGCCCCAATAGACAATAGGGATATGAGACTGAAATAGTAAGGCACGTGCCACATTTAAAATGTGTTGATGTTTACGCTCGACAACTGAATTTTGTTGAAGAGTCTCAACACAGGAATGATAAGAAATAATGCATTTGGACTTGAAAAATGCATGAAAACTCAATTCATGCGCATTGTCAGATCTCACAGATTTAATTGGAATTTGATATTGGGTAAGGATGAGAGTATAAAAGTCAGGAAAAATGGTAAGAACATCCAACTTTTGACGAAGAAGATACACCCAGGTAGTGCGAGTGCAATCATCAACAATGGTAAGAAAGTAGTTGTATCCCTCAATAGTAGATGTAGAAAAAGGGCCCCAAATATCAATGTGGATTAAATCAAACGGACGAGCAGATAATTTATTGTGAGAAACAAAAGACAATTTACGTTGTTTAGCCAAATGACAAATTTTGCAATGAGAAATATTCGAAATCTATAAACCTTTATTAATGTACTGAAGTTTACATAGGAATGATGACCCATTCTAAAGTGCTATAGACTACTTTTAGAATTAGTGGAAATAGCGTTAACAGTGGAAAAATGAAAATGCCTAGTAATTAAGTAGTAGAGGTTGCCAATGCATCTACCCTTCCCAATCAACAAGTCCCGAGTGTGGTCCTGGATGACACAAGAGTGAAGAAAAAAATTAACCGTACAGTTGTGGGCGATGATCAACATGTTGACACTGACAAGATTAAAAGAAAAGTGAGGGACAAATAAGACATCATGTAGGGTTAGGGTGTCAATGAGGAATACATTTCCAAGTTGAGTGACTAGCACTGAACTACCATTTGGTAAAGTAAGTGGAATAGGTTCAACATGCTTAAGGGTGGTGAAGAGGGTGGGTGTGCAACATATGTGATGTGTGGC